GAGGGAAACACGGCACCAATTTCTGGACCCTTTGCGAATTGAAAAAGAGAGATCCCGAAAGTAACCATTGTATTGTTAGGTGAATTTTAAGAAACGAAACTCTGTGCTTCTCCACCGTGATCGGAAATCTGAGAACCGCCAGAGTCTGTCTTGTGAAAGCGGACAAAAGAAATCGTTCAGCTGTAGCACACTTTCGGTGTTTAACTGTCAGGTCATCCGAAGAAAGCACAAGAGTCGGGATACTGCCCGGCTGCCCAAGCCTAGACAGGTGAAATCGAGAGGTCGGGTTCGAACCACGGACCTTGCGGTCAGTAAATTCGCGCCCCAACCACTGAGTCATTTCGCCTGGACACTTATATCTAAAACAGGTCATTAGTTCCGTGATGAACAACTTCGAGAGAAGGAGCTGGTGTTTACAACACCAGGGCATCTTTGGAGCGTTTGGTTTGGTGGAATAACTTGCTGCATTTAGAACGAATCCGGTCGCAGTGTCTCGGTTGTCTGCGGTCCATCACAGCATAAAATGCCATGTCTGTAAACTTTGCAACACCCGTGTTAACTCTGAGAATGTCAGACAACAAAACTTGTGATGACTTTTGCAATGACTCTACAATCGACGGCGTATAAAACCATCGCTATCCGCAGTGTGCCACAGGAGTGTGAGCTAGCCTTGTCCTTCCAGTAATGCAGATCACCGAGCTACTCGAAGCAGACAGTCCATTTAGACACCACCTCTTGGTTCTAGAATTCTTGTGACAGTGTTGCAAATGACCTCCTGTGGCTACCATTGTAAAAACCAACCTAAAATGGACTAGACACGTGTCTGTCTTGCAGGTTGTGCCTCACATGCTCCGGGTAGACTATAGGCTTCAAATTGTCAGTCCTTTCAACCGAATTTCACACCTGTCGCCCTTCATTTAGACCTGCTGATGGTTCTACACAAGGTGTCTGTCCTTCAAACTCTGGTCATATTTTCTCGGATGTACCACTGAGTTAAGGATATCTAGATGCCTTCATACACAGCCTTTATCACAGACTTCGTGAAACGCGACCTATTTTGTAAGCTAGATGACCGAAGTAATTAGACCGCGAATTTACTGGCAGGATTGTCTGTGGTTCGAACCCGACCTCCACCTCTCGACTTCCCCTGACTAGGCTTGAACAACCTGGCAGTATCCCAGCCCTCGTGCTTCCTTCTGGTGGTGTGGCAACTGGGTACCCAAAGGGTGCTACGGCTGAACAGTTATTTATTTATTCTTATCTTCAGTGCAGTTCGGCACTACATGCGATTCTGGCAACGGGGCCTGAACGAGAGTGCACCAAAAAATAGTGCTCATGCGGCTCGACTTTCATCGATTTGACTACATACGCAGGGCCATACAGTGAGACAGAGAATTCCGGGATTTACTTCTTCGAAGCCCAAAGTCCACTATGTAGTTAGCTTATTCTCGCAAAACTAAGTTGAGTGTTAAAAGAAGGGCGAAGCCGGTCGCTCCGTGCCAAGGGGTTTCAGCAACCTTATGAGTAGTGTATTACGTCTATAACAGAATGGTCGTTTTGGTAACGCGTATAACGGTGCTCTGAACTTCACCCTGCGTTTGTTACACGGTTAGTTTTCATACTAGGGAACGATCGTCCTAGCATCTTTAAAGCATCATCATCGGCAGCATGACATCAGTGTTCAACACCGATGCTTCACTGCCGTACGACCATGATTTATTTGAAAGCCTTATTGTAAAGAAAAGAATAAAGGTGGACGGGGAAGGGACGTCGGGCTAGCTTACCACAACCATTCCGAGGTTCCTACACCTCCAGACATTTACTCAGGCAGTCTGGACAGAAACTGACAACAAGAATGCCATTGACATCGGTTGGCAGCCATATCTTGCAGTGTCTCCAACCAGGCACAGCGAGGATCGCGCGGTCCCCATCCTGGAAGGCTAGTAGCACCGACAGCACCCAACGTTTCGTGATCTCCTCCAATTCAAGTGGTGGCCATCTCTCTGTTCGCGCCACCCTGAATTGGGCATGGGAAATAGCACTGTCTTCAGCAAACGATGGTTCGGCACACGCAACACAAGTCTTTAAATCGTCAACACGTTTTTTGCTGCTGCCGCGGAAACACGACTCATGCCATTAAAACTCGGTCGGTAAAGCGCATTGCAACGGATATCATCCTTTGGAACATTTCCCATTTGGAATATCAGCGAAAGACAATCCGATTGAAGGAGGGGGAGAGCTCAGTGTCTGCAACAGCCACCGTTATCTTGGCAGCATTATAGGGATAATTGGTTTTGTTTATTGATTCTCATTCAGGTTCAGTTGTGTGAAAAAGGCTGACTCCTTGGATTTCGAACACCATACAAGTTCACCATGTATTCCAGCCTATGTGCAAAAGCACCGAATAGCTGAAGCGTTCATTTCAGAGGAAGTGCAAAATTTCGGTCGCCTCAACAATGCAACTGAAATTCCACTATTCGGGTGCGGAAAGCGTGATTTACTTTTGTTTCTCCTCGCAGAGGAGGGGAATAGTCTGGCGTTCATGATAGGCACATGTGCCGCTTGGTCACCACATCGGGCCGCAAGCCCCCCGGTTGGTCTTTCCGCGGTGTCGCACCTCTTCAGGAGTTTTGGACATATAAGCGTGTCTTCCCATTCACTTTCGGTGTTCAACTGCACAATATCGATCTCCCAGCACATCGACTTGTTTTGATGAAAAACGAAGATTTCATATGTATAGCTGACGCTCACTCGTACGGTGTTCCTTTCCTTTTTTTTGAGTGTTACTCTGTACTCGAATCACTTACTGGAGCATTACACTAACGCGGTGCAGAAAAAATCCCATCTTCAAAACGGTTACCTCAAAGTATTCCCCTGACAAAAAGAAGAGCAGTCGGGAATAGTGGGTAGCACAAAAATCGTTCCCACGTTCGGCGTGTTCCCGACTGCGAAGGGTGGCGAATTTCGTTTTTTCCGATGTTATAAGCATCCCAACTGCTTTCTCGTGTTAAGGTGGTCTTTATTTGCTCACTGCACTTGACACACAAGTTCCCATCGCTCCAAAACCCTTGCGTCAATCCGACATTCGCGTAGGCAACTATTGTCACATATTCGCTCACACTGGAGTGCGTGGCTTGGCCACGGATATTGCGCTTGGCATTAGCAGAGCATAGCCTTGCTTTTCCCACGTATACGATCAATAAACCAGTAGCTGTCTGCTACATCGTTTGGCGTTCGAATCTCGAAAGCTTTTCATACTGCGTACTAACTAGGACCGCGGTAGTTTTGTATGTCTCGTTTTCTATGAGCTTGTATGTTACCCGTATGTGTGAAACAGCTTCAACTATTCACTAGCACCTTATTCGTTGAGGACACCGGTTCACACCTGAGAAAATCGATCGGTGGACTGTGAAAGGAATTCCGTGATTGCCTAAAACGACTGCAGTGGACGATACGGCTTTGCCTCCTGTCGACCTGTGTGGTATCGAGTACCTGTCAGCAGATTTAGTCAAATTGACCTTGTTCATTAACAATTAATCCCGCCGATGCTCCCGAAGCCTTGGCCCAGTCTGACGAGAACATCTGATCACTAATGCCGATATTTGACGGCCTTGAGATGCTTCTATCATCATCATCATCATCATTGTCAGCTGTAAGAACCGCGTACTGGTCGTACACTGGTTGTAGCTGCCACAGTTTCGTTCACCGATGATTGGGGGGGGGGGTAGGTAGCTGCGCATTGCACGCGCGAGCTGGTAAATTGGTGCATAAATCCAGCACTGTCAGTGGGTTGTCAAGCGGGGGGGGGGAAAGGAGCTATGCATTGAAGGCAATAGCTTTGATGCATGAGCGCCATTGAGGGCGCGACTGGGCCATGTCTGATAATGTCTCTAGCCATTGATGTGGCCCGTCTCGGGGTCCCCATCCAGGAAGACGGCAGTGACCAGCGCAGCTGAGTTTGCTGGTAATGGCTTTCATACTTCGCTGCCAAGTCATTGTTTGACCGCCTCTGGCTCTCTTCCACCCTTCACATGGTTGGGCGAAAAGAGCCCTTCGAGGAAGTCGGTCGAATGGCATACGCAGCAAGTGGCCAAGCCAGCGCAACCTGCGCAATATGATCAGTTCATCTATCGAGGGTGAGTTATTTCTCCCAAATACCATTCGACCTACTTCAGAATTGCTGATCCGGTGTTCCCACCAGATTCGGGCAATGCTCCGAAGACATCGATGGTCAAACACTGAAAGTCTTTTGACGTCCTCGGCGCGCAGCGGCCAGGTTTCTGATCCGTATAGTAATATGGAGCGCACCGCAGCATTGTAAACCCGACCCTTGACAGAGAAACTGGTGTCACGCCTACGCCACAGGTGACGTAGGTTCGCAAAAGTTGCTCTGGCCTTCCCAATACGGATGGAAATATCATCTTTCGCGAGACCACCGGGACTGATACAGCTGCTTCTATACTAGATGGACGTTCCATGATCATTTCCATCTAGGCTAGCCAACCGACTCATGGTAGTCACGTTGTATTGTGACAAATACACTCATTTGTATATCC